AAATCACACGTGTACATATCTACCCAACAAATAAATAAATTTAAACACAAACAAGAAAAGAATGCAGTTAGGATATAAATGGTCAGCCAAATTCCACAATTTTTTTCTTTTCAACATAAAAGATGAAAATGTAGGGGTTAGAGTGAAAACTTAGTTGTTAAGAGTATTTGTTACTACTTTTGTCATAGGACTGGAGACATGCACACATGTGTACATGTAAACACAAATATTGACATTAATCTAAAATAAAAGAATGGCTTTACTGGAATTTTTATGATCTCACATTCTGTAAAAACATTATATATATATATATATATATATATATATATATATAGAGAGAGAGAGAGAGAGAGAGAGAGAAATAGAGAGAGAGAGGGAGAGAGAGAGAATAAGTGGTAATATTTAAAGTATAAATAATACCTAAATAATATTGTTGAAGTCTACTAATGTTTTATCCATTGGGGACCATTTCTTATGCCATGCTATCTTGTTTTATTTCTTATTTTGGGGGGGCCTCGATTTTTGAGACAGGGTTTCTCTGTGTAGCTTTGGAGCCTGTCCTGGCACTTGCTCTGGTGACTAGGCTGGTGTCAAACTCACAGAGATCTGCCTGCCTCTGCCTCCCGAGTCCTGGGATTAAAGGTGTGCACCACCAATGCCTGGCTCTTGTTTTATTTTTAATGACTAAATTTCAAGGTGTATTTTTAGTAAACACAAATATTCAGCTAAAGAACATTTAAAGCTATCTAAGAGTGGGAGAAATAATATCCGCCCCCCGGGAAAAAGCATGCCAATTGATTATCCAATAACAAATGGTCAGCCCTGTAAACAAGTTAGATTATACAGAATGACCAGGTAGTATTGAGCAATATTCTTGTGTGTGCAACACACACAGACTCACAAACACGTTTCTTTACAGCATGAAAATCTCGTGTGTGTGTGTGTGTGTGTGTGTGTGTGTGTGTGTGTGTGTGTGTGTGTAAAGTGAATTCCATGACCCTAGGTCTATGAGAATTAAAGCATTTTAATGCCCATTGTCTGAGACATAAACTGCTATAGTTTAGGCTGAGTAAAAGCATTGAAGACCATTTTCCACTTACAATACACAGTACTTATACTGACACAATAATTTTAATTCAGTATCATTTTGTGGCTGGTCTCATTAAATGTGTTTGGATCATTGAATAATATCTTCCGGTATGTTAAGGAACAATAGAGTAAATACATTTTAGTTTTTAGAAGAATAGAAAATGACATATTTATACAGCATTGTGTATAGATGGTATCAAATACATTTTAAAAAGGGAATCCAATTGAGAATATAAATGCCAGTGAGTAAAACTAGTTTTTTCTCACTTCTTACAAAATGTGCCAACAAGTGAGCTAGCAATTGTAACATGAGAGATTTTAGTTATGTATTATAAGGAACCAGATTCAAATAAAGAGGCCTATGCCAACACCCATACAACAGCTCACAGTCTCCTGTGATCCCTTTTTATGGAAGCCATCACCTTCTTCTGGGCCTCTATGGACAACATGCATGCATATGGTGCACATGCATAGGTGAATGCAAAACTTTAATACACATACAATTTAAAAGAAAAGAATTTCAGATATTTTTAAATTTCCCACAAAATTTCCCATCATGACTGAGGATTTCAGTAACCTCCAATCTAATTAATCATCTTGTCTCAACTTCCCAGTACCTGGCATAGCAGTAGCACACTTGTCTTACTTGGTTTACCATCTTGTCACCATGTTGCCCAGAAAATTCAAGTGATTCAGAAATCTTCTGAGATGATAGTCACCTTAACTTCCATCAGATTCTTTCCAATTGGAGCCAACTTCCAGTTGTATTGCCTAATGTTCTCCTTTAAAAGATACCTCTTGCAATGGACACTATCCCACATTGGAGACACTGACTGGTACTTGTCTTCCCATTATCCATGCCTTCTTTGAAATTCAATTTCCAGATTAATATCCTAAAAATCAAGCCCAATCAAGTCATTTTCTGCTGCCAAACAGATTTTTACACTCTATTGCCTGGTGATATAATTACAAATTTCCTCCCATGGTAGTTCCATCCCTCTCACTCAATAGTTCTGACTCATTGTTCTTATGCTGCACAGCTCATAGAGCAATACACTACAATTAGAGATGCCTTCCTAGAATAGAAGAATACTCTATTCCTTCCTTCAAGGAATAGAGTAGATACAGTGATGTCAGATAGCTGGTTTCCATGTAGAATGATGGCAGTATGCATGCAACCAACACCTGTATGATGCTTTCATATTTAGCTATTTGCCTCATCTTCTTTACTTGACTTTAAAATTTCCAGACACAGGACAGTAACTTCACTCAGTTCATTAACTTCTAGCACACTAACTGAAACTCCATATATAGTGGATAGTAAGTGAATAAACATGACTGAAAAACATACTAGTTATATATAAGAAATAGAAACTATCATAAAAATATAGTATAATTCATCACTGTACAAATGACATAAGGCAAAACCTAGCATGAGTTAAGAAAGCCCTCTCTAAGTTCATAAATTCAGGAAGAATATATTGACGATGTTCAGAAGTCTCGGTTCAGTGCTTATCTGCATTTCTTATGTATTTAATGATTAGTCTTGTCATGTAATACTGACAATATTTCAAAACTTCTCTCCTACAAAAACCTCCTCCTACAAAGTTGAAGAAATAATACCTGTTTTATAAGACGGCTATAACATTCTTTTTGAAGCATCAACTATTGCTTATGTGAGGTTCTTTCTTTCCAGGTAAACAGAGCCCATTCTTCAAAGGGATCTATAATTAAAACTTCCTGACAGAGTGGACTGGGCACTCATGCCTAGTCTCCATCCCATGCTCAGGAACTATCTATACCGGGAAACAGCTACACTCAGCCATCAACTCTAGGGGAATATTGGGCTTTGAGCCTCTTAGAATTTCACAGGCTCAGAGATAGGAAAGATTGGTGACTATTAACCAAAGTAAGCTATTTTATGATCTGTCATGGGTAATTAATAAAATTCAGGAGAAATATCCCTCCTAAACTTCAGCATGCTGCAGTTATGTTTATTTTAGACATACCATTTGAGCCTCACCATTCTGATCCCTCTGAAGACAGTCAAGAGTCTGACTGCGGGACCTGGCAAACAGGCCAGGGAGCTGTATTATAGAGGTTAGAAGGCTACTGAGGCCAGAGAAAACTCAAGAACTGGAGTAAATATTTTTGCCATCATATTCTCTCAGAAGTATTCCTCACTTGAGAAGTGGAAAGGGGAACTGATTAGAAAGAGTAAAGCCGGCAGGGATGTCAGAGTAAAAACAATCATTTTCAGTGAACACAATAAGTTCATATTTGCTTGAATTCCATGGGATTTTTGTTTTTTTCTTTTTTCTTCTTCTGTTTTGCCTCATTGCCTGTTACTTTCTGGTTTGTCTTCCTCAAAAATCTCTTTAGTCTGTTGCCTCCACTGAACAAATAATCTGCCATTGCCATCAATAATATATATATATATATTGCTAAATATTCTAAAAGATGTAATTTTGAAAGGAAGGAAAGAAGTCAGTCCTAATCAATGACAAGCGGGAGAAATCAGCACTTTTTAAGGAAGTGAAATAGTATTGCTCTTAAGGATGTACTGTCATTATTGAAAGCAATAATGAGCTACATTGCTTCAGGATGTGCTCCCTGCATAAGCACAAATGAGTACATGAGACTTTTGCTGTTTTTCCTCTCCTCCTCTTTCCTTGCTTCTTCATCTTTGTGTTTTATGCTGAAGGCCTTCTGTCATTAAGTAACCAACATTTGTCTCTTTAAAAATTGCATAGCAAACATTTTTCATTTGAACATTAAGCATACTGAGATATAAACTCAAATCTCATTTGTTTAAAACTCGGTGTTAATGAGGTCAGGACCACACACTAAATCTCTGTATCAGACAGTTGTGTCCTCTTCTCTCTTGTGTGGCTACAAGTATGTGAATTATGAGCTCTTCCCAATATCAGCTTTGAGGGAGGGAGTGTGAACCAATCTGCTCAATGTGCATCCACTCGGTGGAAAGTGGCTGAGTCCGTCAGCTGCGGTGTATCTGCGGTCAGTAGCTTCACCTTTCTTTGTGAGAATGGGTTTCCTTAGAATTTGAATAGCATTATTGGCATTTTAGTAGATTGGTTGGTATTTCAACTTTTTGCTGTATACTCATGTAAATAAAACCCAGAAGGAAATTTTCAGTTTTCAGTGGCATATATTTTTATGTTTGTATTTTATGACATAAGGCTAATAATACCTCTGTGCTCTTAGAATGTCTTGTATTTGACTCTGTACTCTTGGAAGGAAAAATAATAATTCATTTTATGATGATTGTGCTTTTTCCCAAACTTCTCATATCAACTGGGATAGTGTTTTTTCCTTGATTAAAATATATTTCTTAATATAAATATAGGCTCTCCATGTTTATGATTATAATAGATTTAAAGAAGCTTCAATTCATCCTACTATTATTATTTCATGCAGAAACTTCATTTTATTGTTGGGTGAATGCTGCCATGTTCCACTTTTAATATTACTTAATTGTGTGGTTTGAGTGCCATCCTCCTTCTCTAGGAAGCTAAGTTACAATCGTAATTTTGGGTAAATGTTAAGTTGTATAGCTTCAAACTCTCCTGAAATTCAGTTAGGAAAAATCTACTGCTTGTCTTAGTGAAATATTTTATATTATGTTTTACAAAATTATGTCAACCTTTATATCAAAATGCTATATTTTATGATTGCATATTGATTAAAGATATTTAAACTAAACTTTAACTTACCTTAGAATTATGCACTATTTGTGTGGTTACTTGCTTTGCCTTTAACTGTTTTGCCTTTTTGTGGGGGATGGTGTTTTTTGTGGAGTAATTTTTAACTATTACTTATCAATTTGATTAAACTAATCATATAGAGTATGATTTTATAAACTTCTTTTCTTTTGTTGTTTCTAGTGATCTCAGTGAAAATCAAATTCAGGCAATTCCAAGGAAGGCTTTCCGTGGGGCAGTTGACATTAAAAACTTGTGAGTATATGTGGATACCTTAATTTATAGTTCTTTATGAGTTATCTTCTGTTTGGGGTCAGGTTTACATTTTTTAAATTATCCAAAAAATTGAATACTGATATAACTTTCTTCATGTTTTTGATATCCTTCAGTAGCAGCATAAAATTTCGCTATTTGTAAAGATGTTTTGCAATTCTTAAATATTCTGATTATTGTTTTACAATTTTCAGAAAAATGAAATGGAATTATGATGTGTTTTCCTCACTTTTTTCAGCGTTCTCTCTTGCTCATTTGAGTTTCTGTCAGGGTACGTAAAAAGCACAGCAGATAAACGGTTTTATTTTCTTCTGGAAATAAATAATAATTTCCAGCTAAAGTTGAAGATGGAGGATTTAGATGTTAGAAGTGTAAATAAATTTCCCTTTCCCTTTATGTGTGTTTTTCTCACATCTTTTCCCTCATATCTTTGAAGGGCCATGTGAAGAAGCACCCTTAACAGAAAAAAAGAAAAGAAAAAAACATATTTCTTTATTTTCCTCAATAAATCTTTAATCTGGTTTCTTACTGGGTGTTTAAGTGCCTATAGCTCTCAAGCTGCCTGTGAGATATAAGCTCTCCATGGCAAATCTAATATTGTCAATATGTATTTTTATCAATTTCAAAATACCATGTTTGTCTTTTAAAATGACTTTTCAGTTTACTTCACATGTTGGGGGTTAAATGTTTTCCTTAGCTATTGCAAGTCCTTGGAATGTAGGGGTGAAGAGCTCCTGTGTGCCAAGATTAACTTGTACAATCCAATATTTCTTAGCTAGCCATAAACAGGGCAGGCAATTTTTCAAGTATTAACTGATATTCAGAATTCTCCCTGGGAGAATTCAGTACCATTTCTCTCGAGTAGTGAAAGTGAGACAGATGTTAAACCTTCTCAAAGAAGACAAGTGTTGATAAAGTCACAGATTTTGGACTTTACATCTCTTCAGTAGAAATGTGTTTTTCTTTATCCCGAGTCTATGCTTTCAGAGTGCCCAAGTAATGATAGAAAAGTGCAGCTTTGTAGTTATAAATAGACAAGGCCATTAACATCATGACTGTGGTGATTTTTTATGTGCACTTAGACAAAAATGATTTCTTCTGCTTTTTTCCTATCTTTACTAGCTGGGACTTTGAGAACGCTTTAGTCGGCTTGCTAACATGGGAGCTCCAATCTGTCTCAGTGTATTATTTGTGGATATAGGATTTCTTATGAATTCCTGGGTTATACCCACTCACGTTGCAAGAGCTACAACTGTCCACCCTGCAGAATATCACTTTATAACCTCCAATGTTAGAATGATTAAGCACTTAATAAAAGTGCATTTAACTGTTTTTCAGATATTCAAAGAATTTAAGTCACCTGACTCTCTTTCCTTATGTGTAAGTCTACATTTACGAAGACTGACCCATCAGAGGGGACTTCTTTTTTATTTACATGTTTTCTTCGTTTAGTGAAAAACAAGTTCAAAGATTAAGTGGAAAGTGAGAGAGTAGGCCAGCTAGCTGCCACAAGAAATGGTCATTTTAAACCTCCCCACATACACTCATGAATTTTCCCAAATTCAGACTGTTGAGTATGCTGTATGAAATGAGGTTAGGATTGCAGCCTGAAAAATTTTTGCTATACTTTGAATTTGTACACATAAGCGATCATCCAAATCCTCATATCCCTTATTATTTAATTTCATAAAATCACTAATAGTTATTTGGGTTTGATGTGTTTATTAGGAAAATAAGAGGTGAAAGACATTTTAAACCAGTAAAATGCAAGGAAACTACAGTGTTATGTTGTGTTATTCAGTGAATAATTCATAAAAGTTATCCATGAATAAATGACTTACAAAGGAGACAGTATAGTAGAATGTGAGATAAAGTTCAATATTATAATATATTAATATATTATTTAAACATGCATATGACTATTCTATTATGAGTCAATTAGACATGGAACTTCATATTGAAAAAAAGAAAGTAGACATGAAATCATTAAATGAGCATACAACAAAACAATGGTTTATAAATAAGATATCGAATATTGTAAGGATTAAGGATGGAATACTGTAAAGTATTGTGATAAGTTCTCAGAGAGTTCTGGAAGAAAATCCATAAAAGAATGTAGGGAGAAAGCTACAATACTATTTTATATTATGTCTTGGTGATAGGAGTAAATTGAGAAAGAACTTGGTATCAAAATCAAAATGTAATGGAGTTTCCATTTGTTTTGTGTGTGTAAGAAATGGAAGGTTTTTGTTGTTGTTGTTGTGTTTTGTTTTGTTTTGTTTTCATGAAGTTCAACAGTGATGAGACACAAGGGATCTACATGTGGGAGGTGCTGACAATTTCCACACAGTCTGCTTTGGAAATTTATGTTTCCATGAAAGAAAGGAAGTGTAAGAGACCTTGTAGACCTGAATGGTAACACTAAAATAAGAAGAAAAGGAAAGGAAGGGAAAGGAGAGGAGAGGAGAGGAGAGAGGAGAGGAGAGGAGAGGAGAGGAGAGGAGAGGAGAGGAGAGGAGAGGAGAGGAGAGGAGAGGAGAGGAGAGGAGAGGAGAGGAGAGGAGAGGAGAGGAGAGGAGAGGAGAGGAGAGGAGAGGAGAGGAGAGGAGAGGAGAGGAGAGGAGAGGAGAGGAGAGGAGAGGAGAGGAGAGGAGAGGAGAGGAGAGGAGAGGAGAGGAAGAGAAAGGAAAAACCTACTATTCTTTTCATCTTCCATGAACTGACTGATAACAAAGGAAGAGGGCAAACATGAATTTTGTAATGTGGCAGAGTGTTTAATCAGCTTAAATAGCCAAAAGAGACTTCAGAGTTAAAAGGTATTTCAAATCATACTTTCAAAAATCATTATCATTTCAGGGGGCAGGGTATAAGGTTTAGTTTTCTCTTACAAACAGAAGCAATACATCTTCTAAATATTTAAGTATAAAATTTAATTTACATTATTGTTAAACTACTAGTAACAGCCAATGATGAATCAGCAGCACACCAATGATGGCGATATTGGCACTCATTGGGACAGCGGAGAACAATGATTTTTGTTTGTTTTGCCTTCGTGCTCATTCCTAAGTTGGTTGTCCTTCATTGTGTCCGAATCACAGCTGCAGAATTACTCACAGGTTAAAAGAGGAAAAGGAAGGTAGAGCAACAGGCATCTGTGCCTAACAGAGCCAAGACCCCGCTTCTGGTGGCGCTATTTTCTGTGCTACCCTGCCCCAGTCTTGCAAATTTTTCAGATCTACGGCTTCTAAGCCTGATGCAAAGCAGTTCCCATTCCTACAGGATTTCTGGTGACAGCACTTGGTTTACTCTTGAGGTCTGGCTAAATATGCTGTAGGCGGCATCCTGACAATATAAAATTGATGCTGTGGAAATGTTGCAAATTAGTACATTTTATTTCTCTTCCTCCAGGCAAGCCCCACTTAAACTATCTTAGACAGATGAACATTCATCTTGGTCTTAAGCATCTCAGGGGAGAACTAACAGAAACTTTTTTGCTATCTCTCAATTTCACAGCTTATTAAAATATTTTTTTGTATTTATTCCACAACCTCTTTCTAGCCTGCACCAGCCCACAATGCCGCCAGCCACCACTTGTACCACTTTATTTTGTCTTGACATTTTAGGCAGTCAGATATTAGGAAAATAAAATTGTATTACAATATCAACAAAATAATTGCATTTTTAACAGCTTCCAGCAGCAACAGTATTAGTGGGATTCCCATATGTGGTATTAAAGTCACAAATTATGAACTATTGATACCCTGTTATTACCAAAGGATGATTCTTCAAAGAGTTAATCAGTGCTTACAGAAGTTTTCCTTAGAGCCTTTGTATGTATAATTATAGATTAATGCTGAAGTGGTGAAGGTTTGCTGCCCCTTAATCAAATCTTGAAAGAAAACCAGATAGTATACATTGTAATTTTTTTAGTACCTATTTAGATAATTCCACTTAATTGTATCCTCTTCAAGACTTCATATTTTTCTGACCTCATTTTTGAGACTTGTGAGTTTCCTTTTGCAACATGTGCTTTATCGGTTCAAATATGTCTTAAGCATCCTTTCTTTTATAAGGAAATAAATCTCCAATTCTATTTGCCCTGGAACTCAAGTAAAAAGCAGTATCAAAGCAAAAATATAAGAATGAAACAAGTTGTAATCATTCATATCACAAAACTCATAAAAGTTGTTTTACTCTTTTTACAGATATGGGGATGAATATTGAAAATAATTGAATGCCTGTAAGAATTAGTTTAGGTACTGTGTAAAGGAAACTACACAGCTGCTTTTTTCTTTCTTTCTTCTGTTATTTATCTTCAAGATGCACTCTGGAATTTTCATCCTACACTCCTCCCTGTCTATTCCCTCTTTCTGTTTGCTTGCACCTTTCCAATCCCAATCACCCCACAGCTATGAATTTTACTCTCTTTCTCTAAGAAGAAATAATCCTTGTTGGCAAAATAACAGCTTTCCTTAGGGAAAAATGAACTGTGTTTTTTATGGGCATTGAAGAAAACATTAGTATATTTTTATATGCACTAATCTATAGACAAATGTATAATTTATAGAATGATTCAGCGTGGCTTTCTCAGAGCAATTCATGGTATCATTTAGATAATAAATATGCATGACCATGACATTTTGGGAAAAAATAATCCAATTTGTGATGCATTGTTTATTGACAATAGGGATATTTGACAAACAGGAAAGTGAATTAATCTGTTGTTGCAAATCCACATACATTATTTAGAAATTATATTGTTTACTGGCGTGCTGTCATGTTTCTTTTTTATGGCCCACTTTGTTTTATTTTATTCTTACCAATTAATCCACTTCAACCAATGAAATGCAATCATATTCTGCTTTACTGAAGTACATAGAGAGCCTAACACATTTCTAAAGCCCAACAACTTTATCAAGTTTAAACTTCTTTCCTGGTGTCTTTCCTCTTTATTTACATAATCCGTGATGATACACAATCAA